CAGTCTGCATTTTTTCTTTCAGAGACTTGAAAGAAGGCAAGGTGGATCTTCTAGATGAAGTCAACTACCATTCAGAGGGATTTGTAAAGTTTGTAGTTCTTTTTTTCGTACAGTGAAAATACCAGTATTTTAGTTGCGTAAAAGGGCATTGTCGCGGGTTATAAGTCATTTTTTGCCATGTATAACATTACTTTTAAATTGAAGGAAACCTCAAAACAATACTTTGCTAAGTTAAAAAAAACACCAACGAGGTATTAATAAACCAAAACGATGGAAGGATGGTGAAGGATTGTGAAGATTAACACGGATTACGACGAACGTGAAAAACTTAGGCTAAACTTTTCAAAATTCACTAAATGTGGCGTCAGAAGTAAGAAGCCGTAAGAAGCTATAATATTTTTAACTTAACTGCTATCACAGTGGAGATAAAGCATCACTTTGTCTAAAAGTGATGTGGTAGAAAACCATATAAACAATGGGATCTTTGGTTATTTGTCTTTTTTTGTTTTATTATGCATTTGTTATCAAGGTTTCATGATGAAAATCTTTTTTCATTCCTTTGACAGTATGGATATCATGTTAAGAGCCTTTTGGCGCTCTGGAAACTTTAAGAACACTCGTCGCTGGATTAGAGGGCGTGTCCTGTTGACGGGTTCAACTGGATTTCTTGGCGGTTTCCTACTAAGAGATCTTATAAGACTCACCAAGGTGATGAATACTTTTTAAAACGTTATTTGTTATTTATTTTATTTTCTTCACTCAGGTCAATGCCTGATTTTATTTGTGAAGCTATATTCTTAATTTTAGATTCTACCGACAGTGGGTTAAATAAGAGACTTAAGACTCTATAGGCTACTAAATTCTCGTATCTCTCTTTCTGTGTCTTGGTTAAATACATATCTTGAAGAAGGTGGGGCACTTCTAATATTCAAATCTTTCCTTGAAATTTATTGGGTGGGAAAATGTAACTAAAATAAAACTGTTATCAATCCATATCATTTTTTTTATGATCATTCTGCTTGCATACTTATATTTTCATGGTGCATCGTTTCAGAAATACCCGTACCTCTCCCACTGAAGGTTAAATGGGTTGGGGTTAGGGTTAATGGTTTGAACGCCCCCTTCTGCTGCCACGAGAACGGCTTTCATGCCAGAAAGCTAATAGATGTATACTGAAAAAATAGAATCAAATTGTTCTTCTTTTGGCAAATGTGAGGATTTTAAGGGGCAGTCATCAAAATCCTGGGAAATTTAATCTAACAATCAATTTCAAAATATAGGTCCATGTTTTTTGTATTGTGCGTGAACAACCCGGCGAAGACACCAAAGAGAGATTAAGGAGAGCGCTACAGCATTTTAAGATTATGCCACAGACTACAGACCGTCAGCAAATGACTGAAGAAGAACGATACATAGATTACGGCTTTGAGCATAGAGTTACTGCTGTCAAAGGTACATCATTAATAAATAACAAATAACGTTTTAAAAAGTATTCATCACCTTGGTGAGTCTTATAAGATCTCTTAGTAGGAAACCGCCAAGAAATCCAGTTGAACCCGTCAACAGGACACGCCCTCTAATCCAGCGACGAGTGTTCTTAAAGTTTCCAGAGCGCCAAAAGGCTCTTAACATGATATCCATACTGTCAAAGGAATGAAAAAAGATTTTCATCATGAAACCTTGATAACAAATGCATAATAAAACAAAAAAAGACAAATAACCAAAGATCCCATTGTTTATATGGTTTTCTACCACATCACTTTTAGACAAAGTGATGCTTTATCTCCACTGTGATAGCAGTTAAGTTAAAAATATTATAGCTTCTTACGGCTTCTTACTTCTGACGCCACATTTAGTGAATTTTGAAAAGTTTAGCCTAAGTTTTTCACGTTCGTCGTAATCCGTGTTAATCTTCACAATCCTTCACCATCCTTCCATCGTTTTGGTTTATTAATACCTCGTTGGTGTTTTTTTTAACTTAGCAAAGTATTGTTTTGAGGTTTCCTTCAATTTAAAAGTAATGTTATACATGGCAAAAAATGACTTATAACCCGCGACAATGCCCTTTTACGCAACTAAAATACTGGTATTTTCACTGTACGAAAAAAAGAACTACAAACTTTACAAATCCCTCTGAATGGTAGTTGACTTCATCTAGAAGATCCACCTTGCCTTCTTTCAAGTCTCTGAAAGAAAAAATGCAGACTGAAATCATTTAAATTGTTTGGTGGTTTGGATAGCAGTTGTCATAAGAGACGGCGGCCAAAAACTTTTACTGGCCATGGAAAAGACATCCAATTGAAATTACATGCTCTATAAAAACTGGAAGTATACACTTTTCTACCAAGCCAAATTTCCTTACTAAACCCTGACCAAACACATGATACCTGCCAAATTTCGCAGAGTCAAAGGCATGAAAGTTTCCTCCTGACACTGGAAATGCTAGCATGTTAGACTCTTAAAAAGCTACATATGACAAGATTTCCAAAGTTTCTTAGACCCAGTTCCATGGTATGCTTTGCCAAACACAACCTTGTTGTCTTTAGCTTTGTCTTCTAACAACAATGAATTCAGGGAGTGCATGTCATTTACACTGGACTTTCCTTAGCTTTTATTGGTTTGAGTTCACATATTTTTCAGACTTGCGCTGGAAATAAAGCTGTAATTATTGCTCAGTTATTGTAATCATTGCTTTAACTTAATATTGACATGACAAATTGGTCCATAGGCATGAAATAGCATGGGATCAAAGTTTTTGGCTTGCAGACATTTATTTATTTATTCATTTAACATTTCTTTATACACGGTTAAAAATCATCAGGTAATACTAATATTTAAAATTAATACTAATAAACTACTAATAAACAGTCCATGCTAAATACTAATTAATAAAAATTGAAGAAGTAAATCCTAATTTATATATGGGCTCCAACAACTCCTCACTGAACTGACCCGCATAACTGAATCCTCATCAACATGAGATCTGGCAGGTATAAACACATTAAACACTATTATATTAAATCTTGTTACTCTCTGTCAAATATTACGATGTTTGATACTATTGGAGCTGGACAGGATATTACTTCACTAACTTGCTGCTCTGTGAGCCATCTTTTTGTAGTTCATCAATCATTTTGGACATCTCTGCTACAGTTGGGCAGGTGAACAAGTCCTGTACTGTCAAGTTTATACCAAACTTGCTATTTACTTTCACCAGCAAATGTGTAGCAAGAAGAGAGTGTCTATAAAAAAAAAAAA